ATTCACCTGCCTTGGCCTGGGCAACCTGGCAGTATTCGGCCCACAAGCCAATCATAGAACACTTTAATTTTTTTATAAAGGTTATTTTACCATGATTTGCTTGGTACACAGTCTGCCCTCAGACAAGATTGAACTATACACTACATATGAGCTACTACAGACCGATTTGTGTAGGTTTCGTAAGAATTAACACTAACTTGTGGTGGAAAAAAACTCCACACATTGCATTCTTTGATTCTCCAATTTAAACGATCTGGTGCTTTGTCCGAACCGAAATGACTGTAACAAGCTAAATACAGTTTGAATGAGACCAGACGGGTAAAATAGCACGGGGGTGGGTGGTCGGAAATCCCATCCGGCACAAGGTGTTACTGATGGGTCACATTAAGAGTAGACGATTGCACACACACACTTTTCCTCGGAACAACAAACAGATGAATGAAAGGTACCGAACGGAACTTGTGTTTAATCAGAGAAAATCGCACAGCCAAATAGACAGAGAGAGAGATATGGCAGTGAAATGTTTTCCATGTGGAATTCGGGGTAAGATCAATACAATTTTGGATGCAATGATGCGCAGATTCAGTTCGTCCACATTTGCGGAGAAAAACCAAAGTTGGTTGATGCTCTGAGCCAGAGAAAAATACGAGTAGAGGCGAAGAAAAGAATCGAGGACCAAGTATACTCAACCACTTATTGATCGTTTGCCACGATCGAATCGAGTGTTGCGTTTTTTGTCGAAGTGAATGAATGCTGCTCGATAATGTGGCAGTTTACACGTCCCTCAGATTGTTTGGTTTCTTGTTTGTGATTGTTGTTACGGTTAGTTCAGTTCGCATGCTTGCACATGAGACACTAAATGTGTGACTCCGGTAAGTTTGTGTGTTTGTGTCAGAGGAACGGCGGAAGGGGAATGAAATTTGTGGAGTCCAATGCACATAGCAAACGCGAATGGGATGACTCAATTTGACTGAAATTATGCACATAAGGGAGAAGAGAGGGCATGCATAATACAGACGAGAAATTGAATTTACAAGCAGCACAGTGCGAGGGATGAAGGTTGGCGAACAGTAACACCAACAGGAGCGCGCGCGCTCTCTTCGTGTTAACACAGTGGCATGGATGAGTATAGATCACCGTTTCCACTCGGACAATGGCATACGTGGGGGGAGGGTGTGTGTGTGTGTGAACCCATTTGATTCAATTCGAATACAAAAACGATTACAAAGGTGGACGATGAGATAAACCCGTGTAGATTAAATGACAATAATCGATATACAACCGACTGAACACCTAACGGCATGATAACTCGTTCCGTAGAAGACTGATATGTAACACAGATGGATGAATGCAGTTGTACACGTGGTCAAATCAATCAATCGATCAATCAACCAATCAGTCGATGTGAAATATCAGCTGTACAGGAGTATCTATCGCACTGGTTTTCGACAGAATTTGGGGCTCTGGCGTGTTAACATGTTTTTAACTTTTTATTAAACAGAAGGTTGCCACGGCGAGCAATGTTTGCCAAGGCAGATGGTAGATGGAAAAAAGCCAACCCAAGACCACGCACGAAGGTATGAAAACTTTAACCAGGAGACTGGGTCACATGGGTCCCGTTAGGCTCCCTAGCTAGGGACCTCGGGATGATCGTAACAGATGGTTAGAGATACTGGGTGATATGGCTGTGTCGGAAACAGTGGCGTTCGTGCATCTTTTCAATTTCTTTGCAACACTAGTCCAACGAAATTCTACATTTTTTTATTCCGCTCTGCTTTCAACTTTCCTTTCTCCTATTATTCATCCAAATGGGCGGCCAAAAGGAGGCGACCAAAACCGCCGCACGAACGTTCATGATTCATGGTTGTGCAAACCGAACTGAACTGAATTAAACAGAAGATCAATTTTCAAGAGAGGGGGGTGTTGTGGTAGTGGATCAACAACAACAACAACAACAACAACAACAACTGAGACGTTGATTAACAGGTGAAATTTATTGATTGGAAAGTTTTAAAGAGCCGAGTTTAATAGATAAGTAAAGAAGATAACAAAAAGTCTGAACGAACGTGCGTCAGAACTATCATAACTCATCTTAAAGCGACAATGTACGATAAGAATTATTCATGTGCTTCTATACTTTGTTGTGATGACCAGCAGAACGATTCAATCCCCTTATCGCGTGGATCTAACATTCGAATATGAAAACCAACAAGTTGTGGGCCTGGGTACTTTGAGTGACGGACTACATAAAGCCCAAAAAGGAAACGCGCGTTGTATTAAGGCTACGGGGCTGATTGCCACAAAAGTTGTTGGGTGGTAGTGAGTGAGTTCAAACCTCGAGCCCTAAGGCCCATATAAAGTCACAGGTACAAATGTTCCCGTTCCGATGGTTTGATGTTGAAATTCCCATACAATATAATACATGAAGAGGAATAAAACAGGTGCGACGTAAGACTTTGATGACTACTTGTTACGAGACAGTAGCTTTCCGATGCCAAATTCGAAAACATATCGATGAAACGGTGGTGGTGGCACAAAGGTTTAGTCGCTGTCACTGGCGTGCTTTGGACCCCATGGTCGTAGGTTTGAGCCCCGCTACCACCATCCAACTTTGGTGGTAGGCAGCTTGCTGTCATTCGGTCCAATAACACACCTAACCTATCGGGGCCCTATGTGGTTCGCCACTCCAAGTCCCGGGGATTAGGTTGCCGGTTACCATCACTGAACAGCAGGTCCTAATGCCTACGGGGCTTTTTCCGTCTACTGTTTACCACACAAGTAATAGAAAAAAATCTGCCCCTAAACTGAGGATGAGAACTGAAAGCGTTTCGCTGGCCGACGAGGGACTTTCTCTCCAGTTTCAACCGGACTGCACTGGGTGATTAACAGTAGAGAGAGAGAGAGTAATCCCGCACACACACAGTCACGAGGACCTACCGTTCCCTCATGAACACCGGACATGGAATTGGGAACGGCAAACTACTTAAAGCCCCCTCGGGATACGCATGGTTTTCAGCCGGACGACAGAAGTTGCCCACAGCGACCCTGGACGGGGTAATCGAGAATACAATCACGTTCGAGACGTGAAATGCGAGGCGGAATCAATCAGGTGTAACAATAAAACATTTAGGGGCGCGCGCACACACACATTCATGGAACAAAATTGAAATCTCACGCGGTCAATAGAGAATATGTCAACGAATGAACACAAAGGCAATCTGTTCTGTGGGCCGATGCAAGCCCCCAGCTTCCGAAGAGAGAGAGAAATGAGGCG